GGCAACAGAACTTACGTAACGCATACGGTTTTTTTATAGTTTTTCATTTCTCGATGCGTCCTTAAAGTGTCGGAATATACCGCGTTTACCCTAGGTATTATGGTTTGAGACTTTTAAATACGTCTGTGAATATTATTAGGAATCCTTAGTGTATACTTGTATTTGCTGATTTCAAGTGGTAAAAAAATTAATAGATGATTAAGTTAAGAGATGGTTTTAGACATCTAAAAACTAATTCCAACACAGCTTGGAATTAGACACACACTGCTCGTTCCAAGCTGTGTGCAAAAATTAAAATTTTCTTAATTAAAAGCTTAATAGCTCTTAATTAAAAGCCTAATTAAGTAGTGATCAATATTCAATAGTGTTCTAATTCCAAGCTGTGTCATATTCCAATACAGCTTACACAGCAATCGGAATTCGAACACAAGAGTGTCGGCATTACGAATTAGTAAGAGTTTGAAGCGCGGCCGGAATTAGTCTCACAAAATACCTAATTTAGTCACACACTGTCAGAATATATGGATTTGGTAGGTTTCCATTTTAAAGGCTTTTAAATAAATATGGCAACATTTTGTGACATTTCATTGTTGCTGGCATGTAGTGCGGTGTTTTGAGAGTGACGTAAAGCAAACAGAACTCGAGTTGCATGTACGGTGTATTTTTTATAGCCATTCATTTTTTGCTTTGAATATTTTTTATAGTCATTCACATTTTTTGAAATGACATCAAAACTATGAGAGGCAGGAGCCAGCTATTTATGGTGATTGAAGCTAGAGTATAGACCTGTATTTTGCATGATTCAATGTAAGTTTAACTTATCTAGTAAAAAAATAACATCATTTTGAAAAAAAGTGGTCAAAGTACCCCATTTTATGGTAGCTAGAAATAAAGGGCTATAAATAGATCACCATATGTGCAACTCGAATTCTTATTGGTTTACGTCACTCTCAAAACACCACACTACGTGCCAGCAATGATGAAACATCACAAACTGTTGCCATATTTATTTAGAAGCCTTTAGAATTCAAATCTACAAACCCTAAGTGACTACATAAGTCACCTTAAGTGACTACGTAAGTCACCTTAAGTGACTACATAAGTCGCCCTAAGTGACTACATAAGTCACCTTAAGACTTAAGTGACTACATAAGTCACCTTAAGTGACTACATAAGTCGCTTTAAGTGATTACATAAGTCACCTTAAGTGACTATGTAAGTCACCTTAAGTGACTACATAAGTCGCCCTAAGTGACTACATAAGTCACCTTAAGTGACTACATAAGTCGCCTTAAGTGACCATCTAAATCGCCGTAGGGTCACCACTAAGGCCACCTTAAGGTCACGCTCATTTATACTTTTTTGTTGTGTTTTTGGCATTGCCTGACAAGAATGGTTTCACTGAACGATTGGGACGTCAAATTACGTACGTCTCGTAATGACTCTGAAATCTTGCAACCAATAGGCATAAGGTGTTGGAAATGACTTATTATGACCTAATAACTGTCTTATGCTTATGTCCAAACAACAAATAACTTTCGCTTTTAAACACTTTTCAACAAATTTTTATTTCTGTCGCCTGAATATTGACTGCTTACAAATCTATAGTTTTTTCACGTATTTAAAAAATAGTAAATTTATTAAATGAAGTAGAATATCAGTAATTTTCGCCAAATAAAGTTAATTTGTATTTTTCAGGTGGCTGAGATAGAGAGATCTGCCAGCCCCTGTTCAGAGCCTGACGTAGCGCAGCTGCGTGAGCGACTAACAGCTTTAGATTTGCAGCTGCAAGAGACCAGCGTCCAGGCCAACCAACAGCTGTCACTCCTGCACTGCAACCACGAGCAGCGCTTACAGCTGCTCCGGCAACTCGGTTGAGTAACTGAGTCTGCTTTTTCTGGACAATCAACTCAATCCTTCTGGTTAAGGGGCGAATTTCTCGAAGAACACGTCCAATGCACGATTGCTACATGTTAAATAAGCTACACATCGTTTGTTTGAGTTTAATTCATATTGATGACCAAGAATAGTCCACAGACCTTCAATTTCTTCAGAAACATTCAGTACACGATGCGTTTGCGTCGAGTAATGTTGATGAAATTAAAAGTCATGTTCTAAAACAAACCAGGAACGATACTACAATATACTACATGCAGCCCATGGTTACATGAAGGTTGATATAACGAATGTCTTCCCTTGAGCTAAATAATCTTCAGTTCGTTACTTAATTTCTTTGTGTGTTGTTGATTGATTCCGATTCACATTAAATCCCATCTCATATCCATTCTCGGTCCTCACATTCAAATTTGTTTCCGAAACGTTAATTTTCCATCACACCCTCAACCGGCATTAACGGTCAAGGTTCGGCCGAATTCGAAAAATTTTCCTTTTTCAATTGCCTTGGCCATCAAAAATCTGTGATAACCTTCAATTTATTTTATTTTGCCACGTACGAAAACCCTAAAAGTTGGATTGTTGTACTGTAAATTACAAATTTAATATCGAACTGTGGGTGGTTTTAGTAGTTTTCGTAAGAGGATTCGGCCTTTTCTTCTTGCCAGCATTTGGAACCCCAGTGAGCGCACGCGGCTCTGGTGAACGCATAACAATAGTGGAAATAGCGGTGTCGGCGTTAATTAGGCCATTAGACCTGTTGCCGGTTCTGAACATGGCAGAATTTTCAGAGCTTGTTGAGAGTCTCGAACACCCAATTTGCTGCTCCGATTTTGCTGTGCTTAATCGCTCGGCCACCTAGCCGATTTTGACAAGAGCTGTAGCAGGTATAGCTATGATCGAACACACAACTCACTGCTAAAATTTTATCCGTTAGGCTATTTACCGATTTTTGACCAGAAATATAGCAGGTAGGTTGCATAGAACCCGCAACTCACTGCTTCAATCCTGATATTCTGAAGTGTAACCACTGGGTCACCCCGCAGAGGAGCTGCGCCGCTGCGACGATGACGAGGCGTCGTTCCCTGACCTGCCGACGGAGGAGGACCTGCTGGTGTCGTCGCTGCCGTGCCTCGCGTTGCCTCCCCTTGCTTCACCGCGCACCAAAAAACATGAAAAAATTATAGGCCTTAAAGCAAGTGCAGCTTGAAACGTGACCAGTCAGTGTTTTTTCGTGGACAGAAATGTTGACATAGAAAATAAATTCACACGGTTGAGGAATGCACGAGCACTGAACTGTCTTTCTGTATGTTTTGTTGGTGCTACGTGACCGTATACCCACGTTAATTGTTTCATTTGTGTTATCGTAATTTGTTAATCAGTTTACTGATGTCCATAGAAAGCTGCAATCAGCTCAGCGTGGGGTCGCGTATTGAGTAGCAAGTTGAACAAGTCCCCAGCGAGCCCCGCAGTCTCCCACAGCACCCCCGCTCTGCCCCCCTCCCCGCCCTCTGCTACCCGCACGGGCAAGAGGGGCTCCTCACAATTCTATGCCCCACTCCTCCCTGAGCATCAAAAGAGGACGCCGCTCAACGTCGAATCCCAACTCCAGTGAGTGTCATTCATCACCATGTGAGTTTCCGTGTTTTTTTTTTTTGTGGGGAAATGGACTGGGCGCAGCCGCAGCCCAAAAATTTTACTCTTTTACTCTAGCCCTGGAGCAAACGCCCAGCTTCAACATGCACTAACTTTCCTCAGCCTCGGAGCTAGAAGCCGCAGACTTCGCTTGAACTCCGTAATCCAGAAAAGCGACACACTGCGGAAAGATGATAGCGCCGTAGCTAGGTCTTCAACCAATGCTTAATTAAGCATGCTCGTTTAAAAGCAGGCGGTTCCTCATTCGGCTGTACCTACTCTGGCCTAATCTCTTCTGGCCTAGCCTATTCATGCTGTCCCGGCTCGTAACCTTCTTCCAAAACATCATGGATATTTTTCCCTGATGTTTGGCTTCGTTTTTCATGATCTTTGTAAACTATGGTTAAACGTAGATAATCTTTTTCAGAATGGGAAGTGACGAAGAGGAAGACGAAGAGAGGTACACGAAGACAGAAATTAGCCCTGAAGCGTTAGCCGAGATTTCTGCTTTCAAGCAGCTCATCCAAGCCTATTTCGCCGGCCACTGCTTCACGCAGTCGCCTGAATTACAGCAGTACTTGTAAACATCTATTTTCTTGGTTCATAACGTACGTTTCAAATTTTATGCAAATTTCGAATGATTGGCAAAATGATTACGTCGACGTCCTCCTTGTGGGCCTCTATGTGATTTCAGTTACTTAATGCAAGCTCAAAAATGTCAAATTGTAATTCATAGCAAGTGGTGAATTTTTCTCGTATTTATAGACGTCTCGGACAATTTTCCTGCCGGACTCGCGGCCGGTCTCCAAATTCAGTGAGTATGGAATATCTCCCAAACTAATGAACGCAGCTCGATGAAACTTGGTATGCGTATTCATTAGGTCCTAACGGTGATGTTTGGCTCGTGACAATTTCTTAAATTTCGCCTTCATTCGTGAGTTGTGTGGCAATACAGGTGTATATTAGCAGCGATCAAGAAATTTCTTCTAAGCTACTGAACAGATTTGAACGAAACTTTGTATAAATCCTAACCTCCCATCGATGTTGTTAAGCTCGTGGCAATTTTTTATTGAATTTGTTTCGTTTGCGAGTTATATGGCTATACATTAGGGCTCTTGGTCAATGCAAAATTAAAAATAGGCCTCAGAAATGTCTGTCGTTTCTTCGTATATCCGGATCACTCGTGAACGAAGGAAAAATCGAAAAAAATAGTCACGAATTGTCACAAAAATAAATTTTTTGATCACTGCGAATTTAAGCACGTATTGCTGTTTAAATTACGAAATTTACCCGAGACGTCATTTTTAGAGCGTCTCGAGATTTCCTGAAATAGCTGTCTATATCATTTGTTACAACTCCCTGGATGACAAAATGAAACTTTTTTTTGTCTAAAAACTGGGAAAGTTGCACTCCACTCATCAAATAGTAATTTATGCACCGATTGCGGAAATTATTTGTTAGAGACAAGCCTAAGCCTCGATATTAGACTAAAATTTGGTTAGTGAACTTCTGGATAATCAGCAAGTAGCATTTGATATGAAAAGCGGAGCAAAAAAATTATGGCCAAACACTGTTAATCATTGGATCGAAAGAATGAAGTTTACAATGTGTCAACCAATGCAATGTTTTCTTTTTATATTTTCTTTAGAGATAAAAGTAATTACGGCTCCATCTGTCGTTTCATTTTCCACGTACAGTGCCGGAAAACTATACGACCACCCTCTTTTCTCCAAATATTTTTTCTTGCACAAAAATTATGGGATTCTAATTACACGAGGTTAAACTACCTTTAAAAACGGTTCCAACGTTACGCGAAAAAAATAATTTTCTCAAAATATATGAGCAGAAATTATGAAAATTAGAAAAACCTAGGTGGAAATGGTTATACGACCAGGATAGGTTTTTCTCCATTTTGGTATCTCTTTGTAATATTTTCACTTCAAAAGTACACCAATATAAAGAAAATCCTGATTTTCGTCATTTAGGGCCTTTCTGGTGTACTTCTGGTGTAGTTCATTGTCCTCACTTATATTTTTTCGAAGTAAAAAATATGCCAAATGGGACAAGACTCACTGAGGCCGAGACGGCGCAGATTTTCGGATTTGTGAAATGCAGTAGAAGCCAACGGGGCACTGCAATGGGAACGAAACGCTCAAAACCCATTGCACAATCATTTTTTGCTAATCCGGACGGCTACGGATGAAAAAAGCACACTTGACCAACCCCAAAATTAACCGACATGGATCTTAGGAGACTGTTTTCTGAGGCTTCTAAAACTTGCGCTACCTCTACTTCTATAAAATTGGCCACTGGAGTTGATGTGACAGCACGACTGACGACGCATCCGTTAGACATTGCATGACTCGAAGAAATTAAAATACATGAAGATGAAAAATGCCCCTGTACTCCAACAAAAGCATATTATCAACCGACAAAAATTTGCTGAAAAAAATTGCTTATTGGTAAGGGATGGCACAAGATTATCTTCAGTGATGAAAAAAGTTCAATCTTTATGGTCCAGATAGGTGGCAATGCTACTGGCACCACTGGACCGAGAGCCTGCATTTTTTCCAAGCGGCAACCTTGTGGTGGTTCGGTCATGGTTTGAAGGGCGTTTAGCCGAAAGGGAAAATCAACTCTGGCTATATTACATGGGAGACAAGATTCCGAGGCTTACAAGCACACGCTGTTTTACAAACTTCTCTCTTTTCCTGATGAGAAACACGAGGGATCATATGTTTTCCAACAAGACAATGCTTCGATTCACAACTCAAAAACAGCAAATATGTGGTTCCTAGAGCAGAATATTACTCTGTTTGCCGTGGCCGGCACTTAGTCCCCATTGAAAACTTATGGGGCATCATGGCGAGAGATGTTTACCAAAATGAGCGCCAGTTTCAATCTGAGTGATCTGAGCACGGCTATCCTTCGTTTTTGGGATGAAATTTCTCAAAAAACACTGGATTATATGGTAAATAGCGTGGGGAGAAGATGCATTGAGGTAATTATGGCGTGAGATTGCCTATTAAAATGAGTGTATGTGATCGACAAACGGAAAAACATACTTTGGTCTTATAACCATTTCCACCTAGGTTTTTCTAATTTTCATAATTTCTTTTCATATATTATGAGAAAAATAACTTTTTTCGCATAGCGTTGGAACCGTTTTTAATCGTAGTTTAACCTCGTGTAATTAGAATCCCATAATTTTTGTGCAAGAAAAAATATTTGTAGAAAACTGGGTGGTCGTATAGCCATTTCCGGCACTGTACACAAGGGAAAGATTTTTTCTGTCGGTTCATCGTCTGTTATGGGTACTTTTCTCATGCGAAATTGTATGGTACGTATTTAAGATTTTTCATGCGGAACGTACCTCTAACATATTTTGGTATTAAATTGAAGCTTATCAGTCTGATTGGTGCATTGCTGATTTTTTTAACACAGGAAGCGCGGTTTCATACATAATTCAATATATTGTTCTATGTAAAACTGTGTACGCCAAACAAACAACGTAAATCAAAGATATTTAAATAAATTTCTAAATGACTTAATATGCCCCGCACGTTTATAATGTACGGTCTATACTCTATAACATCTTGACTATTTTTTGGGTAAACAAATTCATTGCTCTAAATGTGTGATTCAACAAACAAAAACGTAGAATTCTTTTAGAACTGTAGAAGCCATTTGGAAAAGTAACAATACCTGGAGGTGTCTGCCACTATATGGTAATTTTCAGTGTTTCCATTAATACTTTCAGCCAGTGTAGCGTGCGCTTTTCGTTGCTCCATTGTTGTTCCCTATTCGGTGTGTTGTGCACATCACCCGACCGTAACACACGTGTGAGTAGTCTTGGTTAGATTTTACAATGCTATCAATTCTATGTTTTTGCTAGGTTTCAAAAAGATGAAATAGGTTCTAAGAACTTTATATTAATTTGTTCCTTCAATCTGTGATTATTTCTATAAGTTCAATTATTTTGTGTGTGTTTTTTTTCAATAAAGTCGTCCCTGAATTTGGCGGTGTCTTGGACCGCGTTGACTTTTTTTTTTGCTTCCAGTGAAAGCACATTTTCAATGGCCAATACGCATTAAAATTCATTGACAAACATTGTGATATTATTTGAAATTATTTTTTTACGTTTTTTGAATTCAAAACCCAACGTTATTTCCTGATGCAAGTTTTGCTGTTTGCTACCTACCTACATTTTGTGGCGTTACATTGACACATCTAGATTCAACTTTCAAGGTTAACCTACTCAGGCTACTGGCTTCAGCAGCCACTAATGACGTCAGTTATTTGATCTTGTGCTGAATGTTGATTGTGTGCGAGTATTCTGAACCTTGAATTTTAGTAAAGTTTTTAATCAGCTGGTTGTGCTCCCTAATCCCTATACTGTTTGTTGATGAATTTTAATTCAGGGTGCTTTTAAACCAATTCCTATTCTTTTTTATTCATGTAGGAAAAACTAAGGAAAGATTTCTTTAATTCTAATTTCAAGCATGATACCTAGTAGAATGCAATTGCAATGCAAGGGCTAGGATTCCTAGGAAGTTATTACTGGATTTCAGTAGCTGCAATCTAAATTGAATTGAATTAAATTTAATGCTGGTGGTTAGGGTAAATGCGGTATATTCCGACATCATGGGTAATTGAACCGTAATTCTGACACTTCTCAACTTTTTTCCTTTATATGAAGCTTTTTCTTGGTTCCATGCATTCGTTGATGGTTGAAATAATGACGACTGTGACGTCATACTTTTGCGCGCCATACCATTGCCAAAACACTAGGTCTGGGCCGTCTGGAAATGACGTCAGTTATTTGATCTTGTGCTGAATGTTGATTGTGTGCGAGTATTCTGAACCTTGAATTTTAGTAAAGTTTTTAATCAGCTGGTTGTGTTCCCTACACTGTTTGTTGATGAATTTTAATTTATGGTTGTTTTAAACCAATTATTCTTTTTATTCACGTACTATAAGAAAGATTTCTTTGATTCTAATTTCAAACATGATAGTAGAATGCAAGGGCTAGGATTCCTAGGAAGTTAGGTATTACTGGATTTCAGTAGCTGCAATCTAAATTGAATTACCTAGGTAGCTAAATTTAATGCTGGTGGTTAACTTAATTTCATTGACTTGTTAATTTAAAATTCCAAGTCATGTCCTGCAAAACATTCCCAAGCATCCAAAATAGTTATTGAGTCATGATTCTGAAAAAGTTTTTATTCATTGGAAATGGAAGGAAATACCCCAATGAAGATTGAAGATTGTAACAAGAAATTTTTCCTTTTGAATTCCAGTTGTTTTCTCAATTTCCTGTTTTACTTGAATATTTAGTTTATTATCTTGCTAAGCCTATTAATACTAGAAGTCTAGACTCTAGAATGCTATAATTTTTTTGGTCTACTCACAGCCAGGCAGCCTCACAGGAATAAAGAAGCAGAGGAAACCAAAATGTCTACAACATTCACCACTATGCTGGACTGCTGGAGGCATAACACATACATAACTTTGAAGCCAAATATTTCATATTCAGCCACATGAATAGGCTTTTTTTAAATTGTTTTTGAACGAATGATATCTATAGCGGAATTTTTAAAGCTATTTTTTTTAATTTGCAAAACCTACGACCAAATTTAAAAATTAGGATGAAGCTGCTCACAGATAAGACAATATGGTTAGGGTAAAGACACCATTTTCCGACACCTTAAGGACGTAGCAAGAAATAAATGGCTATAAATTGATCACCGTAGCACAACTCGAGTTCTGATTGGTTTACGTCACTCAAAACACCTCACTATGTGCCAGCAATGATGAAACGTCACAAACTGTTGCCATATTTATTTAAGAGCCTTTAGAATTCAAATTTATAAAATTGCTGAATTCCAACACTGTGTGACTAAATGCGGCGTATTGTGAGACTAATTCCAAAAGCGCTTCAATATTGTAATTTGTAATTCCGACACCGTGTCGTAATTCTGACACCCTGTGTCAGAATACAACACCCTGTGTGACAGTGTGTGTTGTAATTTTGACACCCTGTGTTGGAATTAGTTTTTACGTGTCTAAAACAGTCTCTTAAATCAATCATCTATTAGTTTATTTACCACTTTAAATCAGCAAATAGGTAAACACACCATATTCCAACACCTTAAGGATGGAGCTAGAAATAAAGGGCTATAAACAGATCACTGTATGTGCAACTCAAGTTCTGATTGGTTTACATCACTCTCAAAAGACCACACTACACTCCAGCAATGATTAAACTTAACCAACTGCTGCCATATTTATTTTAAAGCCTTTAGGATTCAAATCTACAAAATCGCTGAATTCTGACACTATGATTAAATGTGGCATATTGTGAGACTAATTCTGACAGTGCTTGAAAATTGTAATTCATAATTCTGACACCCTGTGTCACGGCTGTGTGTCGTAATTCTGACACCATGTCGGAATTAGTTTTTATGTGTCTAAAACTGTCTCTTGAATCAATCGTCTATTAATTTATTTACCACGTAAAATCAGCAAATACAAGTATACTTAAATGATTCCTAATATATTCACAGACTTATTTAAAAGTCTCAAATCATAATATTCTTTCTACACAAACAGTTCATCACTATTTAGTAAAGCAAGGTCAACTATCAACATTCATTACATGGTAGGCCTACGATGTTCTCACTAGTTGACTTAGACTTTTGCTCTGCGGATCTTAACATTTTCCAGCTAGACCTAGTGTTTTGCGGAAATCTGGCGTGCAATAGTATGACCACTATTTCAACCATCTATGCATGCATGGAACTAAGACCAAGCTTAAGGCCCTGATTGAGAACCATTGGGTTACGAACAGGCTTGGCTCTTCCCTATGAGTTTCTTCACAAATTAGGCTTAAGTTTGCTCCACTCCTAAATGAGATAGCAATATGAATTTTTCCATGTTTATCCAGCTATTTATTTATAAATGGTGACCAGGAACAAAAAATATGTACACTTTGTATTAAAAAGTTATAATGAAAGGGAATTTCAAGAAACTTTGAATATTATTGTTCATCAAGTCTGCAACTTTGATACTTTTTTCGAGATATAAACGGGTTGTAATTTTTATTCTCCATTGAATGATATACTCAGCATTCCTTGATCAGCCTCCTTGTTGTAGATATTATCTACTGAAAAAAGTTTTGATTGAGTCTGCTGATATGCGGGGGAAAACCCCGCATACTAGCTGCTTAAATGCAGACGTTGTGGAAGGCATAAGGGGAAAAAGATGTCATAAATTACAGAACTGTCAGTCCACGACGGGTGGCACGGTAAAGGCGAACTCAATGAGGGGCAAAGAATAATACGTGGCCAGTGGTCCGCCTAGTCCAATTAGTTATAGCCAACCGTTGGCCTTCCTCGGCCACCTGAAAGCGACCAGTGACCGCGAGAAAGGGTCTGGCTAGGATATCATATTACAAAGAGTACAAGCTCGAGGGTAGCGACTGGCCGAGCTTCGGGCAGATCGAGGATTTTACACGATGGTCGTGAAAACCTTGCTCTCAGACTTTGCTGCATTTTGACTACAAGCTTTAATATAAAGGAAAAAGTTGAGGGGTGTTGGAATTACCCACCATGTTGAAATATGGTGAAAATTTACCTTTTATGGTTCAGATTTATTAAAATTCTTTCCCGTTTTTACACCCCTATGCAATTTCTTCAATAAAATTAGAAAAACATTTTTGCATAATTTTTTAAATCAATGGTGTTGCGATTGTTTTTCCCTTCTCTTTATGGAAAATTCTCTATTTTCCAGATTGTCATTCTGGTTGGTGGATCTGGAATGGAAATTTGAATTAATTTTGCCATCTCACTTGATAAACTAAGCTTTTTTAATCTATACCAGACCAACAGCTTTTTGTTGAACTGAGGCATATGACTAATATCCATCCAAAATTTTCAGCCTAGCTGCCCTATGTTGCCTTCTTCCATTGATGTCTCAGTTTAAATGAACAATTTGTGTAACTGGATATTTATTGAAAATTTTCAACATGAGAAAATTATGTAGCTGAATTAACCACCACTCATTGTCTTCTATTTGCTCTATCATAACCAACCTCTGTATGTATAACTTTAATTTTGGTGGAAGTTGTTTGATCTCCTGGCAGTTGCATCAATCAAATCTTGAAGTGATGAACAAGAAATTGCAGTATTAGCATTCAAGTTGAATAACCTGAGTGGTTAATTATATGATAAATTGACATGCTAAACATTGTTCTTAATTCCATGTTTTTGTTTTGCTCCAAATTTAAAAGTGGAAGTACTTCAATGTATTGCAATATTGAATTATTACTAATTTGAATTTTAGAGAGCTTCCACAATGTAAAATAACAACAATAGTATGAATTTTGGTGTCTGAGCCAGAACTCTTTAAATGCTTTTATTTTGATTCTTGAGATTGGCAATAAGTGATGCTATGAAGTATATGTATGATGAGCAATGATTAGTGATAGGCAAGGGCATGATGGTGTAGCTTCAAACACAATGCAGGGGATGTAAAGTTTTTAACCCTTTCGTATGCAAGTGATCATTAATGATAACTTGAAATATCAATTCCTAGTCACTCATGTGGACTCCAGAATCCAAGGTTTCATTTATACTCCATTACACTTAATTGCTCTTCTCATTCCACTGTAATCCATTCATATGTAGTGCAGCTGAGTTCAAATAAGATCAAATGTTCCTTATCTACTATCAGCCAGTACATCGTTATACTATGGTATTACTTCCACTGCTATGAGAAGATAGTACTGGCAGCAATATGGATTACTAGTGGTGACAGAAACAAGTTTAGTATGAAATAATTCTGCATTAATGCAAAACAATATTACAAGGATTTTTTGTACTGTAGAAAAGTAAAGAGTAATTTGAGTTAGAATGCATGTGAGGAGAATGGTGTATGATCTTCTTTCCATTTTAATTGTTTGGTTGTTCATTTCATTCTGCTTCTTCATGTCTGTACAAACAATGAACTGTCAACTATTTCATGTGCTTGAATCCTGAATTCCATGCTACTTACACAAGATACAAATTTTTTCTAAACAGTTTTGGTACTATAACATCACCGGGCTGATCCTGTGTGGTAACCCAGGCTTACTTGCAAAAAAATTCAAGGATTTTGAACATGATTATGAGCAAACCTTGTCTGAAATTTTCTACTGAATTTATTTTTGTTAGATGAATTTGGTAGGTCATTCCATGGATAAGTGAACTTTTAATTCATGGAGTGTTGACAGAACTAAGTTATTTAATAAGCCCACATTATTGAGTTGCCAAATGGTGCTGAGGCTTTGTGGAGAAAACTTTGGTTTTGAAGCGTAAGAATGTTAGACTTTGTTTAAATGCCAGGATTATTGTACAATTTCACACTTTGTAATACTATTTTCCTAGCATAAAATTCACTTGAATAAGTTAGCTCAAAATTGTCTGATCCATTATGACCTCAATTTTTTATTACAGTCTTTAACTGTCAAAGTTTTATTTATATATGCAAGTTTTTCTGGTCATAAAAATTTATAAATTTTGATGTGAAAAATTGATTTTTTTTTCAGTTTGTCCTGCAGTTTTAGGAAAACACTTTCACAATGTCTGAGGAGCTCAATGCTGAATTTGAAACCGCTGAATCTGGCGTGTCCAACGTTTACCCGGCACAGTGCTCCTCCCTCCGCAAAAATGGATATGTTGTAATTAAGGTGAGTATCATAAAGTTCTTTTATGTCATTTTTTACCATGTAAAGAAGTTGAAGTTTCTTATGAATGAAAACTTTTGGAAGCCTTTTTAGTGCATTTTCTCATTTGTGGAAAAATGCCCTATTGTGCTTGCCATGTTCGTCTGTCTGTCCATCCATGACTTCACATTTTTGTTGAGAAAATGCCCTCTCTGTCACTCACTGCAGTGAGTACTGAGTTATATTTTTTCTCATGTCTGTTTAGGTATTGATAACAAAAAGTATATTTGTTGCAGGGTCGGCCTTGTAAAATTGTTGAGATGTCCACATCAAAAACTGGCAAACATGGGCATGCTAAGGTGCATCTCGTGGGAATTGATCTGTTCAGCGGCAAGAAATATGAGGACATCTGTCCCTCCACTCACAATATGGACGTACCTGTGGTCAAGCGTGCTGATTACCAGGTCTGTTGATTTGATAATTCATGTTGGTTTTAAGTATTCCAGCCACTATTCGCTTTTTTTGGGGGTTGTGCTATTATAGTTCTATTATAATACCAAAATGCTGGACAATTTAGGTGCAAAATCGATGGAAAGTGGCCAAATTCTTATGTAGCTTTTAGTTAAAAATGAAGCAATTTTGCAAAGAGAATTCACCCAATTTAAATTTAATTTAAACTTTGTTGAATTTACTGACTAAGATGAATATAAAATTGAATGAGTAACAAATAGAGAACTGGTGATAATTTTTTTCATTGTTATTTAAGCTGTCAAAATATAAATTAATAGCTGATTAGCCTGGCAATGCCATGGCTTGATATATTTCCCTGGCATTTAAGAATGTTGCTTTTCCCAAGTCACGTCCTTCACATTACCTCAAAGCACTCTAAAATTATATCAATTTTTGATTCAATATTTTCCTCACAGTTTTGCAATGCCATTCTATTCGCCCACTGATAATGAATTTTAAAGTCCAAGTAATGTATAAAGTTAAGCTCATACTCCTTGTGCATCATAAGCATACCACGGAAATGTGCCTCAACAGCGCATATATTCATGGCATAGGCTTAATACACTAACTTGGATAAATATGAGACTCGTCATGTATTTCTAATGTTTAATTTAAAAATGTGCCACACTTAATATTATTTATCTCGTAAAAACAGAAAATTGGCAACATCTTAAGACTTTTTTTACATAATTTTCATGATGTAGATTTGTCAGGTTAAATTTTTTAAAATTTAAATGTTTGAATGATGTGATTAACCTCAACAAGTTCACTAGTTAAGTTAATATATATGAAATACTGTTGAAAGCATCCATCTGGAATTGGTATCCTTTACCTTTAGGTGTGTTCCGCTAATGTTGTGTAAAGTTGAATTTATTTTCTAATGGATCTTGCCTCAGTTTTAGCATTTGAATCACTTTACCTATAGGTACTTATTTCATGGGACATGTTGAGAAAAGAGAACCAAAGATTCTACCTCGTTATTTTATGCTTTTTCTTATTTTTAAAATTTGTTTTACTAGTATTTCGGTCATGGGACTACTAGTATTTTGATCATGGTCAGTATTATGGGACTGAGTTTCTTTACAGAATATTTCTTGTTTATTAATTTTACTGTGATACTTCCCCCGTGCGAAGTAAGTAGTAGCCAAATTGTTATTGACACTTTTTCAGTTATTCCATTATGTACTTTTATTTGTTTGACTTTAGTGATGTGTACTACCACCTGTATTATATGATCATTTTTTTTAATTAGCTGGTGGACATTTCGGCGGACAACTTCCTTTCACTGATGCAAGAGTCCGGAGACCTGCGTGAGGACATTAAGATCCCGGATGGTGAACTCGGCACGGAAATCCGCAGCAAATTTGAGTCCGGGGAGGACATTCTGTGCACCGTCTTGTGCGCCATGGGCAGCGAGATGGTCATCGCCACAAAACCCAACAGCGGCAAATAGTCGCATCACACTATTTTTATCTATTCAAACCGAAACTCTCATTTGCGTTTTGACTGTTCTAAGACCTCATAAAATGCATGAATTGTGCAGCATTGAAAATGAAACACTCATTTTCCAATCATGCCCTCTGTTAATCATGTAACTCCTCTCGTTCCTTTCCTTCTTTTTATTATACTCATGACTTATGTTTCCATTAGACGGTGGTCAATGCTCAGTCTTTCGTTTTCCTCTTCCATTGTTAATGTTAGTCCCTAAAAGCCTTAACTCTCCGACCCTTGCAACTAGTGTCCGCCTTTACGCGGACACACATTTTGCTGTATTATTTTATTAATCATGTTATTTTTTCTTACCATTCAACTGACTAACATTATTCCCATTTGTGAACTCATTCCATACTATACTACATATCTCTTATCTTTCAAAGCCACGCTTGCAATTGCTGCTAATCTCTTGGTGACGTGAGCTTCAACAGTCATTTGAACATTTCTTTTTCAAGATTTGCCATTTTTACGTATAATGACCGACCAGGTGTTTGTCGTGGTTAACGCGAGTCGTGGATCACGGGTGTGCCGAGAATATAACTTGTTATGCGTCAAATACATTTGGGAGTAAACGCACGACTTATCATTTTAATAGCCCGATTGCATAGTATCTTTGTTGAAAAAATGGGCCTGCGCAGTCACGTTTATCTTGTCGTGAAATTTTTCCTGTGACATCTTGGTGCTGCCTCGGTCTCGTCGATTTATTGTTTGGTACTTCAACCTCGTGCTCAGCAAAAATGGAGATACGTTTGTGCTTTCATCAGATATTGTGGAGTTTCCATTGTTCGAAATGCCCAATCGGAGACTTGAGCGCCAATTTCTTCTGGATTACCGACCAACTCTTCCGTATTTTAAACTTATTTGGGTCACGTGACTGCCGTGTCAGATTACCGTGGTAATGGTTGGTTATGAATAATTGATCAGTATCACTTTCATCACGGATAAATGGAAAACGAAATTGCATATCACGGTTATATTTGTGAAGGCATCTAATGCGTTACAATTTTCCCCCATTTCACATATAAAAATACAACGTTCAAGGAAAAGGTGGATCATCTATTCTAGCGAGACCAATACCACGCATCGCGGAATAGCAGAGTATTGCAGGTTTCTGGTCACGAGAATCCTGATACGAGTGCAATATTGTTGAACACAAATGCACTTAATCGAAACATGTACTACAGCGGAATACCAACCAATTTTAGTGCCATTAATTCTTAGCTTAACACCTGCCATGTATCCTTGCTGCATCAAGAATAAGGGTGGAACTTAAGTTCTACGATGTTAACTGTTGCGAGAAACGCGGGGAAGGGGAATAATCGCAGGGAAATCTCGCCATAAATCACTTCGATTGATGGGCCACTATCCCGCAAGTTGATCAAGCTAATTCTTGTACATTGATTCGACGAATATACGAAAAAGCTTCTCACTGAAACACGAGTGCACGATGAATCTTGTTAACTTCGGCACAGTTTTGCTCCTAAAGGCGTAATTGATTCTTGAACGTTAAAGTGCTGACATTGGAACAAAGCTTCTCAGAGGCAGAGAGACGCGTGTGCAGGTATACATGTACATTATTGTTAGACCCAGAAATTGGTAGCAGTGGAATGGAGTTATGCGTATTTGATCAATTTTTATGTTAGAAAAGTAAGCTCGTGAAATAGTAGTCGTGTAAGTTTCTGGCTGACTGTTACTTCGGATAGAAGTAACAGTCAGGTATCTATTCAACGGTACCTATTCTGGTCAACGATTGGATGTGTAATGAAAAATTGCAACTCGAGGCCTGCTGGAAATGACATTTCTCCAATAATCGAGTCACTGCACGTTAACGAAATTAAACATTTTTACACGTAGAAAATATTGTAAAAATATAGAAACAATTGCTTGCAATTTACAGAATATTTGCAATAGACTCCATTAAAGGAAGGATCGAGGAAATATCGCCTCTAGCACACAAAATATTTGCCGGATTTGCAATAATTCTCGATTTCATTTTATGTCTTAAACGCCGAAACTTAAAATTAAAAAACAATCATAGTATTTTGGAAATTTCGAACGACTTCCACCGACATTCTCCCTTACAAATAATATTTATATCGACAAACAACGAATAATTATACAATCAATATCAATTACCAAATTAATAACTAACCGGCGAGCGACGTGAAATGCAAAATATCCTATCAAAATCAATTCCGAGGATTCAAATGAGAATCTCAGGCCATACAACTGAGCTATTGGTGACGAGAGCGCGTAAATTGCCTACATACACGACTAATGAAGCAACTGTCATCGCATTAATCATTGGAAACATACCTGCAACGTGAATTAATTAATTATCAGTCTTTGGTTGACTGTTAAAAAAAATTACAACCAGCAGAAATCGATTAGAGACAGTGCAGAGATCCTAAAATTTTGTGATGGTTGCGACGAAGAAAAGAACGACGGGGTTCAGAGAAGTAATAGCTTGCACAGAACAAGTTTGAATAAGATAACGAGTTTGGAATAAAGCGAATACGTTTTTTTGGTTGCAGTGATTATAACACATACTTCAAGACCACAAGAAAATAAAATTCTATCTATATATGGTTATTATTTAAAACTAGTTTAGGCAACGCGGAATAACCGAACAACCATTTGACGTTCATCGCATCGAGTGTTACAAAAAGCTAGGCGAGTACCTGCCGATGTTGACATTATTTTTTTTTCGGCGTTTATAAGGTCGTTGGCCAGTCGCCGATTCTTAACTTCACAGAACATTAGCAGCTTCTAGCGGTCTCGAACACGCAACTCGCTTGTCCAATTTTTCCTCCATGCAGATTCTGACCAGAAGCTAACGCACAGAGCTGGGATCGAACCCGCACCTCTCTGCTCTGAGCCTGATACTCTGAACTGTAACCACTGAACTTGAGTTTCCTACAGACGGACGCAACTAATTAAACTCCAAAATAATATCATAACGCCTCCAAAACATATGCATACAGGCTGCAAACCATTAGGACTGAGCTAGAGGGTCGCTTTAATGCTCAAAATTGTAATACTAACAAAATATTCACAACCGGCAAACACGAACTAGGTACGAGAAGCAAGCCAGAGAATCATCATTCACAATCAGAAGGCAATCTTCAGCATGGACATCGATTAGCACAAGCCTTTATTTAACAGAAATGTATTATATTTACCTGTCTCTAAAATTCTACTCTGCTTTGCTTGCTATAAATGTACTGTATCTGCAGTGAGCACAACAAGCTACACTACGGAGCACAACTAGCTTGTAACGATATATCAGACACAGATAACACATCTAAAGTTAGACATCCACTACAGAATCTAAGTAACGAGCAGTGAAAATACACAACAACTACCGAGGCAAGTTGCAGAGGATTGAGTCAGGAGTGCGAACAACGTTGTCAGCAAAACATTTGTTCAAAAGTTAAGTCGGCAGAAACAAATTTAGATAAATGATAATTATTCAAAATTTACACTTAGAACGAAGCACTTAGAACGAACTTCGAATAAGCAAAATTACATCAAGTCATCAAGCAAACAAGTTGCAACTGAAAGCAATACAATCATCACTAACTGGCCGGCCGGTCAGATGAATAGCTCGATTCAAGGAGACTCTGCCAATCAGCATCAGAGTAGCGTAAAATGCAATTGGGTTCACCAAGTTTACTGCTGCAGCTCTGATTCTGAAGATTGTACGACATGTACGCATAGCTGACCATCAGATTATCATTGAGTCAAGTCATTAGATTACTTCATTTGCTTTCACATCAAATTTATCAAAAATAAGCTATATTCATAGCGTGAATTGGTGAGCAAAGGCAGTTAAATATGTGAAAATTCATTGGTTGTGACATTATATGAATTTTAAAAAATTACTTGGATTGGAAGGCGAAGCTCTACGCCACGTTTGGATCTAAGCAGTCAACAACAAACGAATTGAACACCAAAAACTTATCAGAATAATGGCAATTGTTTTAGGGTTTCAATGAAATTAAGTAAAACGAGCAAATAGGCTGGATAAAAGAAACTTACGAAATAAGTGATACCACCTAATTTTCATTAGATAAAAAAGATAATTATGCCAAAAAAAATTATTTTCAGTATGATAAGAACGTCTGAGTAGATATCGCTACACAGACAGGCCAGCTCTTGGAAGACTTTCCAGGAACACGGAGAGCAAACATTGGTGCTGTTATCTCTTACAAGTTTTATAGTCAAACGTCATCAGTCACGATTACACTATAAATATATATATTATCACTCCTAATTAATCTATTTGGTACAGTTTTCACTAGCGAAACATGCTAATAATAAAGAATAAAGATTGAAATGGACCAGGCTAACTTTTAGAAAGCTGACCAATTTCATTCATAAACGAAGTCATCGACGTTCATACGTGATCCATTCTTTCCCAAGAGTGATAGAATAATTGCACTAATAAACAGAGACAATAATTGTGGTGTAAGTAATTTGGGGATGATAAGCAATTCAGAACAATTTTGTTCCTGGGCAAATAACGCGTTTAAACAAGTACTGAAGTCTACAAATTCTGAAGCCAATTCAATTTTTTCATGAATATTGCCACTTGAATGTAGATTCAAAATATTTACATAAAAATTAGATATCATTATATCAATCATTCGAGTAACAACAATTTAGAATTAAAATACGAGGTATATCAACATCATGGTTCATTATTTCTTGTACAAGTGTCATTATTGTGATGAAATGAGACTGGAATTTCAAGAACTAACACCCAAATTAGGTACACAAAAAGCCTGTGAGGCAAATGCTGGTTAATACAGTGAATACCAGGCGTAATAATCCTTGGACTAAGTCTTCAGTTGGTACGAAAATTAATTTTCAATTCTCAATCAATGAAATGTAAAGAGAATGACTGAATTTAAATGAGGTAAGAATTGCTAAAACATTTTTTGGTGTTTAGGGTATGGCGAAAATAGTGGCACAATTGAAAGTAAGAAAGAAATAAGCAAGAAAAAAATGCAAGTTACTCCGAGTCCAGCATCCAAATTAAGCGCGCAACACACTTCACTCCATCCCTCCCAAGAGAAAGGAACTAAATACGCACCCATTGATCCAGTAACAACTTTGACAAAATATCCCTAAATGGAATACATTCATTGTAATTCACGAAAAAGTTTGTGACTATTCCGGGCAAGTGCTTCGACTGATTTCGTTATAACATTGTCACAATGAAAATACAAGGAAATAGCAAAATTTTTGCTATTTACTTAAATATTTAAATAAAGGTTCCAATACTTTGTGTCGTTCTACACCATGTGAAATGCAATTAACGAGACTTTCTTATTACATTACCTTTGTGATTGCAACATGCAGATGTGGGAATAAAACTGTAATTAGAGGAACTCAAGACACCGGTTGATACCTACACCGTTGCCTCGAGTCAAATCGCTTGGGCAGCAATGCATACATTTGGGTCATGTGTTAACTCCATATAATGAGCAATTGACCCAACCAATCAAGCTGGAGCAGTCGTATGATTGATCACAACAAAAAGATCTGGCCGGAGTTTAGGCGGATGAATGATCACAACATAAAGATCTGGCCGGAGTTAAGGCGGATGAATGATCACAACGTAAAGATCTGGCCGGAGTACAGGCGGATGGTTGATCAGAAAATAAAAGTCTGGCTGGAGTCAATGCGGAAGGCGGATCACAACCTATTGACCCTGCTGGAGTGAAGGTTTATAGCAGATGCTACACAGCATAAGAAAAAGGCTGATGACGGACCGACAGAGGCGGAAGAGTGAAGGGATTCAACCAGGACACAGAGAAGCGACCAAACACAGACTGCACGCTGCGCCAACGGGACTTGCGCTCCCACGTGCCTTGCTCTTTCTTCAGTTGCTCGATTCCCTGCAAAAAAAGTTCAATAACCTTTGCTATTCGTCGAGTACCAATACTGTTTGATGTTATTTGGCAGCAGCAAAACTTTCAACTAAAACATGCAATAGAGTGGTATCAATAGTCTGTGCTTAAATCGCAAGTTTACCAAAAACTTTAAAGCAAGATAACGCCAAGTAAATTCACCAAATCTTCATGAAAATATAATGTATTAACTTTGCGTTTTCTTTGCTTTTAAATTTTGAGAAATTTAATCAAGGATATAATCAAAATCACTGACACATCATCATTAATAATAAAAATTATTATTGGCCCATTGGGTGAAATTATTGAAACTGACCGTCTCATCGTTCCAGATAGCGGAGAGCTGAGAGAAGAACATGACGGCGGTAAAGATGGCGAACAGGAGGCTCTCAAATATGAGGAAGAGAAGCAAGACAACGGTGGCTGGAGGAGACACGCTCGAGCAGTGGCGCCACTCGCTGCCCACGCACGTCACGAAGTGGTAGCCCCCCAGCAGTAGGCCATGCAGTGACAGCAGGGCAATGTATAGCTGTCAACGTGATAGCAACGTTAGGAATTAATGCGTATATACAGTGGGGGGAAATAAATATTCGTACACTTGAAAAATCGTATTTTAATGTATGNACGTACATCTGTGGCCTAAGCCTGGGTTATTGGACAACGTCAGGAGCGGCGTCCTAGTCCTACAGCATCAGAACCGTCCATACAGAGCGTCCAACAAACTAACAACATTAATATTATGCTTGCACCAACTGACATGTCATATACCTGAAACTACCCAATGACAAATTCCAGGAAATGAGAGAATGAGAGGGTAAAAATGAAACAAAAATTCAAAGACTAATTAGTGTCAATAAGTCAACACTTCAATGTGTAGGAGAGAATGAATTGTGTGGCAATAAATCAAGTAAAAAGAGCATCAAATAAAGTGGAATCAGGGATAAAATCAGTGATATGGCACAAAAGGAAAAAGGAAAAACATTAATATTTTGGGCATAAATGGTACAAATTTGCATTACCAATATCATACAAATCTGATAGAAAGACACGATTTCATATATATGAAATACATAGAAGAACTTGATACTGGTATAAAGTGCATTATTAAACAAGGTCATGCTCCATCATAGAATCTAACACTTCACAATGTCTATTCAGATCCTTCAATATATTTGTCACAGCAACTTACTGTAAAGAGAACAAAAAATTTTTGATTGTTCTCGCCAACACAATTGTTGACCCAAGGGCAATGGTGATCCATTTTCCTGATGCAGCGCTGACACACAGAACAGTGATGAGCGCGGACAGGCTTTATGCTGATGCACTTGGGACACTTGAATATGACCTGGCCTTCCTGCAGTCCCAAAAGTTCTATATTCTCCCGAGTAGCATTGCCTTTAGGAACTGCACCCTGATGGCAGTAAGATCAAGTTTTTTCTTTCAAGTTTTATACAACAAATGTAATGTATACTGGAAATATGACCAAGTTTCAAGATATTACATGAGCACAGTGATATGTAATCTAAGGAATATGATACGATATGATGATATGTAATGATACTAATGAAGGAATAAATGTGCCGAAAATACTCACAGGATCAGACAACATGGCTCGTGTATGTGAGGCTAAAGCCAAGAAAGCCAGTAAGTTGAAGATGATGAAGTTTATGACAGAGTATGCAGAGAGTGATGATGCAGGAGTGTAGTGTGCATTAGCATTGTTGCCATTACTGCTGCTGCCACCACTGCTGCAGATGACCAGAACAACAACAATGTCAGCATATACAACCAACAGCCACGTCATCACTGCACAGATGATGCCACAGATGTCTCGAACACACCAGAATCTGCAACCACAAAACTTTCCATTAGGTTTGCTATAATTTACATAGTTTACAGATGGGATGTGCATTTACATTAGCATAAGTTTTTGATGTACTTTGTCCATGGTACAAGTTTTTACAGATTTTCTCTTTGAGGTAAATAAGTTTTCTATAGATGTGATTTAGTTTCCTTCGAGATAAAATCAAGGATATATAATGCAGAATGAGCAAAAAACACAATTAATATTCAAGATTAAAGTCGCAGAGACAAACTGGGAACTAACCTGCCACCGAAGCATCTGTTGTGCGTGTCTTTGATCTGTCCGCCCACCATTTGGTAGCCTCCATTGCCAGCTGAGTTATACATGGTGGCCGCACCTCCATACAAACCTACCAAGTGTCGCTTAGCAATGACTAGCAATAGATACACCAACCATCAATAAAATTTAAAAAAATTTGAGCTCTCAAATAAATGGTTTGAACATTTTTAGACCTATTTTCAGAAATTTTTAGACTTATTTGTAAGGTCACTCAAAAAATTGGTTGAAATAAAAAATAAACAAATTTTTGGAGCTGATCCTTTCAGGGGTAAGTAACCATTCATGGTCACTTAAAATTGCCTCACAATAAGATATACGTACCACAGCCTCCTGTTTGAGTTTGAGATTTCCTTATCATGCCTCAGTCAATCACTAATTATCAGACCATCGTTCCATGCATAGCATCACCACCTACCATGCCCAAAAATTATATTATGAGCATTAAAATGAATGTTTTGATTTGGACAATGAAATTGACAATCTTTCTGCATTTTATTAAATAATATTTAATATTAAATAAATTAAATATTAATTAATAAATTAATAATTAATTAATAAATTAAATATTTACGTTACTAATTTTTTCATTTGCATAAACTAAATTTTAATTCTAAAGAAGTTTGTACAGAGACTGCATTTAATAAATTCTTGAAGTGAAATTAAACCTCCAATATTAAAGATTTCTTACAATATAAACAAATAAATATTCTGCATAATACTTCTTACTTTCTTGAACTCGTTTCTGAAATTTCAAATTTCAATGCTTGCCTGCAACAGCATTAAGATGGGTGAGTTGAAACAAGGATTTTTAATAATAATGCCATTTGAATAAAAGCAAAAAACAAGTCCTTTCCAAATTAGCTTAGAAGTTCAAATATATTTAAAACGATGATATGTGGATGCTGGGCTACATCAAGACTGAGAAGATAAATTGGATAATTATATATAATGTACCTGCTCAAATTTTTGGCAGGAGCTGTCTCCTAAAGAGCTGTCAGTTATACTAGAGTATACATGGTTATAAAAATTGTAGAGCAGTTGGACCAAGGGAAGTGGTTGCCATCAGCACTGCTAATGCAACCACATAAAGAAAGCATGCATTATTACTAAATTTGAATTTCCTTTCATCCACTGCCATGCCTGGAATTATAATAAGATTTGTTTAGACCTGAGATCAGACCTTGGCATTGGTCAGCAATGTGGCTCACAATCATATGTTCAAAAAGTGAGCTCAGCACACCTCCCACCCTTAGATTGTGAATATATATTATGTTGAAAATATTATGTTTTGAATAGGTAAATCCTAGCAGGCTTAGTTAGTTCAGTGGCCATAGTTGCTAGCGCTCTAGCAGGCTTAGATAAATATTAAGTTTAAAATGGATATGCATCCTAATGTGCATTTGGAATTAGGAGTAGTTATGATTAATGTTCAATTGTTTAACCTTTAAAATTACTCATTCTTCACTTGTCATCAACATCATCTTGGCATCCTTCGTTCATAGATTCCAGAACTCTTTAAAAAAACTTCTTGTCCTCACACATGCAGTCACACTAGGCCTCTTTGACCAACCAGCAATGACTGGACTCCTTTAACCCAATTGTAAATTTTACTTCCCTGAGAGATATAGCAATTCTTTGTACAGTTACACGCATATTTATTGGCAACTTTCAACTCCAAATTTAAATATTGCACCTATGTTCAAGATACTGATGAAATATTAGTGTGTTTGTATTAAAATGCTAGCCTGTAATTGTGTAAACTAATTTCGTACCTTTAAAATATATTATTCATTTAATATTTTCAGGTATATGTTATTTTATAAATTGATTGTTATTTTCTGCATGCAAAATTAATGGCAACTTTTACATAAAATCCATTTAACTCATCATTGTTGATCAAGAATATTCTAGGTTGGTCTGATGATGACTCTACAACATTACAAAACATTCCAAAACACTATGTGCCTATACTATAAACCTATACTCCAAGTTTGCGCTTGCTCAGTTAGTCGTTGGAAGCAGTTGTATAAACACATCTCCAAAATTTTCTAAATTCAATTATAACGAAGACTTCTGAATACTCACAGGACATAAGGAAGTGTATAGTTGAACTACACAACAAAGGAAATGGATATCTAAAAATATCATCAACTCTGAATGTTCCAATTTCATCCATAAGGAATATTAGTGTCAAGTTCAGGAATAATGGGACCACTGCTAATCCAGCACGAACTGGTCATAATCAAAAATTAACCAAAAGGGATATGTGTTCCTGCATGAAAATAGTAAATAACGACCCGAAGATCACTTCCAATGAATTGCAATCACATCTGGCTAGTGCCAGAAAAACTGTGGATGTGTCAACAGTGCGACGCTACCTGAACCGTGAGAGCCTTCACGGGCGTGTACCAAGGATGAAGCCACTGTTGAAGCCAATTCACAAGGAGAAGCGTTTGGAGTTTGCCAGGAAGCACATCGATGCTACTCAAGCAGAGCTCAACAATATATTGTAGTCGGATGAGACAAAGCTTGAACTTTTTGGTGTGAATGACAACCGCTTTGTATGGAGGAAATCTGGTGAAGCTCGGCTGCAAAAGAACACTCTACAGATAGCGCAATAAAAACTGGCACCCTTCCATCCATTTTCACTGTTTTAGCGCGGTCAATTTCATTTGCGTTTCAGATGCTGTAAATATTGCAATCTACTAAAGGAGGTTTCTGGCAACCTAGGAGACCCTGATGAGTGTTGCCAGTCACTTGGCAATACGTTAGTCGCCATTTTGTGTTTGTAGCAGATGTATGTTTCTATGCGCCCTAGGCCTGATTTTTCAGTGAAAACACATTTTTTTGAATAAACGTCCTTGTGAAATTGCAATTGATTACAATGGCTCCTAAACACCTCTCACTTGCGGAAAAAGTGCACAGGCCCGATTTTTCAGTGAAAACACGTTTTTTTGAATAAACGTCCTTGTGAAATTGCAATTGACTACAATGGCCCCTAAACACCTCTCACTTGCGGAAAAAGTGCACATTACGTGAAGAAAAAGTGAGTATTTTAAACATTTGTGAACGTACAGGGAGGAGCCGTAGGTCCATCTTGAGGGTCCTTGCAGCGCAAAAAAAGTTGACACCTGGGGAGGTGCCAAAGAGGAAAGTGGGGTCTGGGAGACCTAAAAAGACTTCAGAAATGACTGACAAGCTTATAAAGCGTGAAGTTACCATTAATCCAAAAATTACTGCAGTCCAACTGAAAAAAAATCATCCGATGTTGCTTCAGCAGGCAGGAGTTGCCATTACTTTTGCTTTTGGTGTTTTTCTAATAAATATAAATATAACATAGATCTAACGTTTTACTATCCGTTATGCACAGTAATTAGATGTTTCTTTGATCAATTTAACTGAAACTAAATGCAGAACTTGCAATAAATGCTTCAAATTATTATATTTCTCAAATTAAATATTTTTAAGCGTGTTGCCAATAAATATGCGTGTAACTGTACTTGCAGCAGAATTGGATTTGGGAGGAATATCTATGTTTTACCATGGGATTCTCCTAAAATTTACTCAAGTCCTTCCACTAAACTAAAAAATTTAATGAATGCAAGGCCTATGCGACATAGCATGTTGAGCAACCTTTTTAAAACACTAAAATCAACATTGCCAATTGTACATTAATAATTTGTTTTGTCACATTTGTTTCTCAAGCATGTATGCATTCCTGCTACTGTAGTTAGCTGGCTGCTTTATGCACTCCAGCATTCAGCTGACTCAATTTCAGTCATCTTTTTTTGCCTCCCACTAGCTGTCTGCATTGTGCATTTGGGCATTCAGCTAATACAATTTTGAACATCCTACTTCAAGCTTCATGCAGTTTCCATCAGTGCATTTTTTTACTGAAATAACAAACCAATTCTCAGGTAGAATTACTCATTTTGAGTTTTGAGGTGCCAGATCCAAGATCCAAAGAACAACATTGCATTTAGTGAAAACCAAACCATAGTTATTGCAGTAGGTAGAGAAAGAAGCAGTGGAGGTAAGTTTGCATGATCAACTCAATCAATGCATTGCCAGCAAGCAGGATGGAAGAACATATACAGGAAATGTCTGCATGATTGTCTAAGATATGCTGTGTGGTGTGCCTACTGAAAACATTCGTAAGATAATTAGCTGTATTGCCACCAGACTGGGAAAGAGTATGGAACTGCCTAGCAGGATAAACATAGAAAGGATGACAATTGAGCTTGTTTTTTTTTCAGACATATAGGCAGCAACATTTGTTCAGCCTTACCAAACTTTAAAAGTGAGACCTTCAGGATTGAAACATACCATAATGAGAAAAGGGACAGACTGTGTAGGATTCCCTACTTATGTAACAGATCTGTAGTCAGAATTCATTCTCTGTAAGGATCTTTTTCCATGGCAGGGCTGAGGCAGTTGAACGTCCTACCAAAGGATCTAAGAGAGGGAGAGGTGAGTTCACCCTAGCAACCTTTCAGAGACAACTGGACATGTTCCTGGGCACAATCCCTGATTGTTTACCCCTGCACAAATACAAGCTGCAAGAAGCAAGCAACAGTATTGCGACACCAGCTCATCCAAATGCACGATGGTCAGAGGCAGCAATCCAATTTGGCCTGGGACTGCTACATCCAAAACATATACTAAGGATGAAGGCCCCACTCTTACTTTTAATGCACATCAACTCAGGAGATCATTCATTATGACAGTGTGCATCTCACAATTAAGGATGAAACCTTGGTCATTTCAATTGACCAACTTCCTGGAGGCACAGTTCAGGACCATGCCCATTACATTGTTGACTATTTCAACAAACTAGCTGTCATGTATAGCACTCTACATTGTGTAGACCTGCACCTATGAAGGGACAAGGAAGAGCCTAAGGGGATTGATGGAAACAACTCCAAAACTCTAACACAATGTCAGATCAAGCTACTGTCTACCATAAGACCATTTCATTAATTGAAAATGCGTGGGAAACAAAGTTGAAGGAGCTCAATTGCCACTAGCAGCCTTTGGACTCCGTTGTTGTTGTTTGGTGTGACCATCATGCTCACTGTGCCGCCGTGGGGGGGGGAGGCTCTGGTGGTGGCCAGAGGGGGGAGGTACTGGAAGAGGGGGGAAATGGGCAAAGGCAGGTTAGGTGGCCAGGAACGCGCTGCACTCACGGGACTGTCCCACAGTGAGGAGACATTGAGGAGTGCGGGGAAGGAGGGGCAGGCAAAGAGATGCTTGACGGATTGGGTTTGGAGGGGATCCCTGCACTCCAAGC